CTGTTAAGAGTAAAAGAGAAAAAAGTATATTGAGTCTTTGGCCCTGAGACTGACACCTCAGATGATGAATCTACAACTACTGTTGGCCGGGCTGGGAATAGCCTGTGCGGTGCCTTCTAAACCCCTCCCTGCTGCGCAGCCCTGACTTCCAGCCCTGCTGGGCTCCCCACTTAACTTAATGAAGAGAAGTAGAAGTCAATAGAGTTTATATGAGAAAGAACTTAATGGGACACTCTGCTAGGGAAAGGAGAGTCAATAGCCCCAACCCCAAGAGACAAACAAATAAGTGTGCTTTCTCCCCAGCCTTCTCAGAAGATTTTTGCTTTCTTCCTCCTCAGGGTTGGGACTTTCTGGAACCAAAATAATAAGAGTAAGTCCATCCAGCGCTGCTCTAAGAGGCACTGCTTAGTCTTCAGTATTTCATTGCAAGGTAGAGGTTATCTCGGCTTCCCAGCAGGAGGACAAGAGGTGTTTGCCAAGCTCTTGCTGCCTTCAAGCCAGCTTGGACTGCGCCCACAGGGGTCAAGGCCCAGGTCCAGTCTCCTTCCTGCAGCCTGGAGCCTGTATGGGAATCAAACAATGCCTCAGAGGAGTCACATAACATACTAAGCTACTGTAATGGGAGCTCAGAGTGGCAGCTCCAAAACTCACTTGCATATGCATCTTCTTTTGCTGTTGTTTTTTTTTAAGATGTCTTAAAGTAAGGGTAATTCTGTCGACCTGTGAGTTTGCTGAGGCTCTCTCCCACCCCAGTTCTGACCTCTCTCCCAATTAGCTGATGCGGCCTAAACCACGAGCAGAACAAAGAAACCTCAGCCTGGTGTGAATTGTGGAACATTTTATTGAACACAAATGAACAGAAGAAGTCAGGTTTCTCTGTGGATTAAGAAGGACTCTAGGCGCCAGCAAGGAGGTGAAAGGAATTTTGGAGGAAATGTTTGGGGCAGAGGCAGAAGTTCAAAGGGGAATTGTTTAGAGGACAAGATGAAGAGCCCTTTCAGAAATGCTTCAGACAGTAAAAGAAATGAGGGCCCCAGAGATGGCGAGAAGCCTGGGAGCGAGCATTTGCCGAGAAAGCTCTCTGTCTGCTCAGCCAGCCCAGGGCACACAGAGTCGCCTGGAGGAAACGGCGGCGCGATTCTACAGGAGGGGCCAGAGCTTTGGAGTTAGAGCTGAACTCACTCGCTGCTCACTAGCCAACCACGTGCCCGCAGCTAATCATGTGGCTTTACACCATTTAGCTGTCCTTAAACCTTCGTTTCCTCATCCTCAAAATGGGACTGATGACGTCCACCCCCAGGGGCGGTTAGGAGGATTACATGAAATTATGAGTGTGAAAACTCTGACCACAACACAGTGGATGCACACAAATTGTGGTTCCCTATCCAAGCACCAGAAATAATCTAATCTTGAGCTACGCTTGAACCAACTGCTTTTAACTGCTTTCTAGAGGAATTAGGGACCCGGTCCAACTAGCTATCCTCCCGACTTGGGAGGCGACTTCACTGGGGATTACTGCAGAGTTGAATGCTGATGTGCAGCTGCCTTTCCTGGTGATGGCCTGCCGGGGCTGCAGGTGGTGACAGTAAGACCAGGAAACTGTCACCTTCTCCAGGCTTTCCACATGCCTCCCCTCTGGGGAGGACCTTGGGAGTCCTGAGGGCAAGCCCACCTAGTAGTTGAGTTGGTGGCTTTCCAGAATTTTTTGAAACTAAAGATAGGACCGCCTAACCCATCCACAGTATTTTGTCCCCAGGGCAACCAAAATTACTCAAGCGATTTATAAACCATGCTTAAAGCTTGAGCTTGAAAAAATCAAAAGCCAAGCACATTTGGGTTCCACTCTCTTTAAAATGGCAAGGAAAATACCAGTTGGTCTAGACGCTGAGGAAAGGCTGAACACTCCCTTTCCCATATTATTATCCTCTCTAATTCTCTTCCCCCGACACATGAAACATCACACACACACACACACACACACACACACACACACAAATACACGTACATCTGCACACACATGCACGCTCACATGAGCACCTGTACATGCACAGGGTGGAATCCCTTGAAGAAAATCTTGATATTATTCAACATTTTCTAGTTTCTCCTCTAAGGCATCAACAAGAAATACATCAGAAGTAAATGAAGATCTGTATACATAGGATGACATTTTAGCAGCTCTTCCCCACTGTCACCCACCACCCCTAATGACAAGTTATACTTATTTTACAGTTATAAAAAGATTAATCAGAAATAAAGTTAGATTCCTTCTTTGCACTATGGACAAAAATAAATTGCAGGTATATTAAAGATCCATTTGTAAATATTAAAATATTTGAAAAATCAAAATATTTGGATAGCCTTGGAACTGGGAGAAGTTAAGCAAAGGGAAGAAACACATTAAGCCATTAAAAAAAAGAGGAGAGATTTGATCATATACAAATGAAAAGCTTCAAAGAACAAAAGATATCAGAATCAAAATCGTAAATATAAGATACGATACACAAAGATGATAACAAAATGAGAGACTGGAAGGAAAATTTTCCATACATACAGTGTGCAAAGAAATCTCCCAAATTCTTAACAAGAAGATAAATAACCCAATAGAAAAATTGCTAAGAACATACACTGGCGAGTTACAGAACAACCAAAATGAACAAGAGTCACAAAAAAATTTTAAAAGATGAGCCATCTCACATTGTACATAGGGAAATTAACACATAACCCTTTTCTAATCCACTGAAAATTTCAGAAGATTGATAATATCCAGGGACAACGTGGACCAGCTGCTTTCTGGGAAATTTTCAGGCTAATGATAATATCAGTGGATAAAGCTAGTTGTCCATGATGTCTGTTAACAGCAGTTTTTGGTAATAAAAAACTGAAAAAAACCTAAATTTCATTCAAAAGGTGATTAATTAAACAAATCGTGTTTAGCATAGCACACCTGTGCTATGGAACATTGTCTGAACCTTTACTTTCCACTATATTTTTCACGTGTGACTTAGGGCAAGTCTGTGCTTCAATTTCCTCATCTATAAAATCAAAGAAATAATGGTACTTACAATACGGATTTATTTGTGTTAAACTGGAAGGACTTTTACTATATATTGCTAAGTAAAAAAAAAAGCAATTTGCAGAATTCAAGTTATTCTTAAAAAATGTATATACACCTATCAGCAAAGAAAGTGGAGAAGTTATATATTAAATTGTGAACACACCTACTGCCTTTGGAATTTGTTATGAAAAACAAGAAAAAAACAAACCAGTAGAAAAAATGACAGGAGACAATTCACCAAAAAAAAAAAAAAACAACAAACAAAAAACCATACAAGTCCATTTGGCTTAGGAACAGGGATGCAAAAATCCAAAATACAATACTGACTACCTGAGTCCAAAAGGTTATCAGAATGCATATGTAAATATCATGACTTATGTAGAGTTTATTCCAGGAATATAAGGAAATATGCCAATGTAATTTATTAGGCTAACAGGCTAAGGAAAAAAAAACATATGGACATCTCAATTAATGTAGGAAAAGAATTTAAAAAAAAAAAAAAAAAAAAAACCAGAAAAAAAAAAGATAGGAGACAATTCCCCAAAAAAAAAAAAAAAAAAAAATGCAGCTGGTTAATAACAATTGGGAGAAAAATTCGGCCCTAAAAAAGCCTACTAGGGCTTCCCTGGTGGCGCAGTGGTTGAGAGTCTGCCTGCCGATGCAGGGGACACGGGTTCGTGCCCCAGTCCGGGAAGATCCCACAGGCCGCAGAGCGGCTGGGCCCGTGAGCCATGGCTGCTGAGCCTGCGCGTCGGGAGCCTGTGCTCCACAACGGGAGAGGCCACAGCAGTGAGAGGCCCGCGTACCGCAAAAAAAAAAAAGCCTACTAGTTTTTGAGAAACTCCTTAATTCCAAGCCTCCATTTCAATGACATGTGCCATCAAATCAGCCAAGCTGAGGGTGCTACAGTCACCACCCTAAGATGAGATACTGGGAAGGGGGGGGGTGTTTGTGTGGGCGTGCATGTGAGGTGATTTGGGAGGTGTAGGAGCAGGAGATATGGCTAAAGAAATAAACCCCTTTGGAGGGTTAGACAGAGACTTGAGCTCTAATCCTGACCCTTTCACTTATCTCTAGACTCAAACTAGAGTTTTGGGCCAATCTCTTCATTTGAGAAATGAGTAAGTGAAGGGATTCAATGAGGTCATATTCACACCCGGCCTGGCTCAGGGAGCGCCCACCCTCCCAGCTCTAATCAAGCCCCGGCTGTGATGCTGAGTCTTCACCCTTTTCCTCCTCTGGCTCCAAGAGCCCTATAAAGCCTCCTTTTCTTTCTCTTAAGAGAGAAGGGGCTGGTCTTTAAACTCTCCAGTCTTAATGTAGTCTGTCTGCCTGTGAGTTTCTATTTACCATGTCACTAATTTCTTCTGCATTTAAGTGATTTTGTTCCCTGCAAAAGCAAAGGCCTGATTTTAGTCACACACACACACACACACACACACACAAAATAAAACAGGAGCGCTGTAGCCCTTTACTTGACACCAGTCTTTCTAAATAAGAATCCAGGTGTCACCCTGGATCCCGTACAAAATACAGGTTTAGTTAGCAACAGAAAGAAAGCTACCCCCCCCCAAAATGGCAGGAGAAGATTAATTGTAACAATTTTACACGATTGAAAAAATACATTTGAAATCATTGACCCTTTAAAATACCTTGAACAGACAGAAAAGGGCAAAGCCAACTGTCTCTTTGCAAAGGACAAGTCTCTTGAGAAATGGTGGGAAAACTGGAAGCAAAAGTACCTGCTGCCTGGCAGTTAAGTGTTCTGGTGGTCCTGACTAGTCCAGTGGGAATTCCCTTAGAACTTTTCAGACAACAAGGTCACCACGCTCACTGTATAAAGATAACCAGGTGCTGTTGTGCCGTGAGGTGGTCCAGGTCTTTAAAGGTCCTCTGCCCCCACCCAGGGGGCTGGGTGGTAAGTCCCTGAGTCCCTGGGCAGAGCTCAGGTGCTCTGGGGCCCGCTGTTGAGGAGGTCTGTGAGTTCTCCGATGTACTTGATGGTGTACTTTAGCGTCTGGATCTTGGTGAGCGGCTGGCCCCTTTGGCTGTAGACGGGTGGCAGGTAATTCCGGAGGGTGTGCAGGGCATCGGCCAAGGTCCTCATCCGGAGCTTCTCCCTCTCGCTGGCCTTCCGTCTCCGCTGAACGGACATCCTGACTTTGGTGCCCTTCTGGGGTTTGGGGCCACCAGCGCCCTGCAGATAGGCAGGCTGGAAAGCTAACATATCATAGCCCACCTCCACCAGGCCGCCAGTCCCAAGGCCGCCGCAGTCATCGCCGCCCCCACTGTTGGCACCTCCATGCCCACAGGGCAGCCCAGCCACAGCCAGACAAGGAGAAGAATAGGACTCCAGCGATGGGGCCGGAGAGAGGCTCTGGGTGGGAGAGGCCTGGGTCAGCTCAAAGGGCCCTGCCCTGTCTTTCCAGTCCCAGGACGACAGCAGGCCAGGGCTGTCGGAGGAGTCCAAGCCATCTTCGAGGCTGAGGAAGGTCTCACGCAGGTTGTCCATGCCTGCGACACAACTGCAGAGAGAACGACTCCGTGGCAAGTGAGAAGGAAGGTTCTGCCGCCCGGCCAGGGCAGAGGTCTCTTTTATGATGGTCGGGGAGAAGTGCTGAAGTGGGAATGAGGGCCGGGTCGAGGGAGTTCAAAGGAGAAACCAAGGACCAAGATGGAGAATGAACTTTTCAGGTGTCACTTTCTCCTCATTGATAATTAGCATCTTCCAGCTAAAATGTCTTTAAACAGAAAGGCCTCCGAGAGAAGAAAAAAGGAATTATCTTTTTGTAACTAAACCAATTAAAGCTGCATAACTAGACTTAGCATGTCCTGTGGAACTCATTAATGAGGGAGCGAAGAAAAACAAACCTAGGGCAATCTGCAGCAAGGAAGTGGTGGTGAGGGGCCTGGTGGAGAGGTGCAGAGTGCCCCAGAGGGGCCACAGCCGCTTAGAGATTTCGGAGCAGAAGGGGTGCAGTGCTGGAGAAGTGGTGTGCTCTAGGGACAAGGTAACCCCTCTGAGCTTGGATTCTTCATTTGACAAACGCAGACAACAGCTCTGACTTCATGCGGCTCTTGGGAGGAGGGAACACAGGCACACCTTAGACGCCCGTTTCCTCCTTTCCTTCCTCTTTAGCAAATTCCCTTGGGTTTTGCAGAGTGCAGACAAGCCCCCAGCATTCCTACACTGAGAATGACAAAAGCCAGCAGCTCCAGTAAACCCAGAGCCGTAAGGAGCTGGAAATATCCTTCGAGAAGCTTAAAGCCCTAGCTTTAGCTGAGCAGTTTGGGATTTCCCCCCAGCAGACAGACACGGGGAAACAGAAAGCTCCTTTAGGGCAGGGAAGTTTGGAAAGTACCTGGCATTTAGCCTTCTGAAGGTCTTTTGAATATCCAGCTGCAGAGTCACACCTTGCTTTTTGAAATGTATAGAGGAAGTGTGAAATTAACTAGGGAGCCTGTTTTCCCCACCATAGCTCCAAATGCCACTGAATGTGTTAAGTTGGATGGTCTTGCTAGTTTGCTTCACTTCCTAATGCTCCGGGAGATAGACCCTGTGCTTTGGAAAGGGGGTCTCAGATTCCCCATTTGTCCCACAAATGCAACTTTTTCTCTGTGCAACTAATTTACAAATTAGTATGAACATGAGACTCACAGTGAGTTACATTTCATATTAATGTGTCCTTTAACATGGTTATTAAAGTCCCTTTGCAGTTATCGAAAAGAAATGTCAATGGCGTAATTAGAACATTTGTGGTATTTTTTAATTAGCTTGGCTCAGGGGGAAAAAAAGCTCAAGCAGGTAATCTGTGGAAGAATGCTCTTAATTTTGCCATTTCCTAAAAGACCCTAATCCATATCTTGAAGAATAATAACGTTAATGAAACATAATAAATGACTTCTCCTTTCCCTTCTCCTCTTTCTCTCCCTTCAACTCTTATTGCAAAGCCTAAAATCTGTTGATTCTATTCAAGGAATTTTATATATTGTTATAACTAACCTTTATCTAAAAAAAGAACAAAACACACTTTACAGATAAAAATACTGAGGCTCTAAGAGGTTAAGAGAGTCAGTAAAGATTTCCCTGGTAGGAAGTGATAGTGCCACTAGGAAGTGGTTGACACAAGATCCCTCTTAAGACCCCAAAGCCCACCTTTAAAAAGAAACCCCTTTGGTTTCGGTAGAGGCAGGTGACGTGACTGCGACTCAGAGAGAAGGGTACTCTCAGTAGACCTCAGGTGGATGTGGTGGTCCCCGTCACCGTGGGCTTTCAGGCCTTATATTCTAAACCACGTAAGACCATTTCTGCTTCCAGACGCCATCACATTTTTCCCTCTCTAAAGCTTCTTTCTAAAATTGCTGGTTTCTTAAATTTCTATTTTCGGAAATTTCATTTTCTAAATGAGACAATATCTGTCAAATCCTTGGTATACATAGACACTTAATAAATGTAGGTTTTGTTCTTGTTGTTACTGTATGTGCACGGTCAAATTAACCAGTACCAGAACGACTTACTGGGTTCTGACTCCTCTCTCCCCTGACCCTGGTCACCCAGAAAACCTGCTCTTACAACAAGGAAAACTGCTTGGTTTCCATGTTTGTCAATGTAGACTCTCACTCTGGTAAGAAACAAACCAGAGCCAGACTTGCATTTACCCTGCAATGAAGCATTTCTACCCTCAGAGGAAAATGGAGGCACAAGACAGCCTAACACTGTTAGCATGCGAAGGCCTATAGCTGAGCACATGCTAGTTGGTGCTTTTTTATCTGCATTGAAGACCAGGCCACAGAAAGTGGACAAGACTAAACTGGACCCAGTAAAGCCTCGTTGACAGTGTGGTGTAGCGGGAAGATGCGCTAGAGTTCACCCTCCTTTAGAGCAAATGACTCACCCCCTCAGGGCCTGAGAATTTTAATTTGTAAAAGGAGGATAACAGCATCTAGTTTTACTTTGCAAAGAGCACCTGTAAAAGCAGGAGTGTGGACCAGAGGATCATTAAACCCCCTTCCAGCTTTAAAATGCGATGGAACACATTACTATGTGAACATGGTACTTGATCAAAAGTAACCCATGATCACACCCATGAAGGGACTTAGAGACTACTGAGTCCATCCTTTTATTTGCATTCTGGAGACGACAATGACTCGCTCAGTGTCACACCAAAAGGCTGTGGCAAAGATGGGAATAGAAAAGCCAAAATTGCCTGACTCCCAGATCTGTCATTTTTCTTCCCTTGAAGCTAATACAGATTAAGTGATAGATAAGCTTTCATATCAGTCAGAATGCATAGTTCCCACAGTACTGAGTTATTGGAATAAATATTTTAATATGAACTTAAATGCCATTCATTCAAAAACATTTATAAGCTATTGTGACAATGATTGTAACACATTAAAAAGAAGTCTCCAACCCCAAGACATTCTCCTGAGAGGACTTTAAAATTTCCTGGTCCTCTTTTCCAAAGAGTAACATACAGGTACAGATTGTCTCAGCTTTCAAATCCCAGGTTGTTACAGTAAACTTTTCACTGTAGTTATACCCACAGAGAAGGACCCAGGATTTGCTACACAGATTAATTAGTGGTTTGGTGTCTAATTTTCAGAATGACAAGCTTCTAAGTCATGGCCCCAATAACAGTCATGACAGAGGCATGGACAACTGGGCATGTCACACTAGCCAGAGGTGATTGTAAACTTTGTATCTAAGGGCCAGGTAGAGCCACTTCCAGGAAATTGACAATAGTACTCAAAGAATCAACTGGAAACCGGAGACAATAGGCTGCTTCAATGCTGGAGTCTGAAACTACCAGTGGTCCCATAGCACTGCTAGCCCATAAGGCATCTCGGCACCAAGTTAGGAAAATGCAGAGCTTGGACCTATTCCAGCCCCACTGACCTCTGGCCTAGCACCTCTTTGCAGGGCTCAACCCTGCAAATGGTGGCCCTGGGAGCCCTCTGTGGTGTGTCTCTTTTGCAATATTAGCATTTTTTAGTACTTTAGTGGCTGTTCAGACATTGGTGGACAGATGGAATGTGGTACTGTTACAAGAATGCAGCCATTGGAGTCAGACTAACCTTACATTGGCTCCTGAGTCATTGTGACCTTGGACGTGTTAATGCATCTCTCTTAGCTTCAGCTTTTGTCTGCAGAACTGAAATACTAATACTGACCTCATAGAGACCCACGCCTTCACCATGGCTACCTGCGGTATGCTGTATGTATGCCCAAAAGCTTAAAACTGCGCTCAGTCAATTCTTGATTGCTTGAGTCAAGAGAAGAGCCATGATACATGTAGTCACAGATGCATCTCTCCCATTTTCTTTGACCTCAAGTCACCTCTGCTTAGAAATCAAAATTCCCTCCTTCAAAAGCAACCTGATAGATAGATGATAGATAGATGATAGATAGATAGATAGATAGATAGATAATTTTAGAAGAAACCAATTTAGACAGAGTTCTTTACCAAAGAACAACGGTTACCCTGGGTGGGTGGTCAGAGTCGATCAGCCTCCAGTGCTGATGGAGGATGCATTACCTAATAAAGGGATGCATTACCTATAGATAATTTAGAAACAATGATAAAGCTGACTAAAAGTTGGTCTGTGTTTTATTACTGCTATGTAGTGTCAATTCCAAACAATGACAATAATAAGATGACTACTCTGTGCTGGGGTTGCCCATTTCCACTACCACCCCATCCTTGGTACCACTGCCAAAGAGAACTTTAAATTTAGCCCAGCAGTTTGGAACTGTGACCCAGGGCACCTGGGTTCTGACCCTACTCTTCTGTGGAACACTGAGTGACTCATTCATTTATGGACCTTGCCTTCCTTGTGTGAAAATTTGGACCGTCCTATATACCTTGTTGCTAGAAAGTTAAGAAGATTGAAAACTGAAGCTTCCCTTTGGAAACTGTAAAGGGCTACAGGAATATGTTATGATATTTCCAAGATTAACAAAAATAACTACTTTACCTATAAAATCAATATTGCCATGCTCTGTAACAGCAGATAAAGCAGCATGGACAATGGCACTTTAAAGCCTATCTCCTGAGAAACGGTGCTGTCACCAGACCCTGGAGAAGCAGCAAGGTAGAGGGTCTGTTTCCCTTGGGGCTTCCTAGATCCCTGTACACATGAGGCAGTCTGTGTGGGCCATTTGCTCAAGGCAGAGGGAAGGCTCAGATGGACTGCAACCTCCCAGGATGCTGCAGAAAAGCCTTCAATAAATAAGAATCTGGTCAGTAACCAAAAAATATCTAAGCCTGGAGTCTAGTTAAAATGAGAGTTAACTCTGTTGAATTCCTGTTGTGTGCAGAGAATGAGATTCATCTATTTTATTTTGCTTTTTAATTTTTGGCCACTCCATGAGGCTTGCAGAACCTCAGTTCCCCAACCAGGGATCAAACCCGTGCCCTTGGCATTGAAAGCTTGGAGTCTTAGCTTCCGGACCACCAGGGAATTCCCTACACTCATCTGTTTTAGATTCACTAGTTCATCTTAATTTTC